TTTTTTGAATACATTAATAGCAAAAGTTAATGCTGTCTTGGCCTTCTCAAGGGTGTGCCAAACTCTGCCTCCCAGACATGCAGGCTTGCCAAGTGGCCCCCAAAGCGGCTGCACATGCATCTCTGCGCCTCCTGCAGCGCCGCTTCGGGCCCCTAATCAGATCTGCCTCAGGCCCCGTAATACTACCTGGGCAGGCCTTGGGCCTGCGTGTTCCCCACAACCCCTTCCACCAGAGTGTGAGGGGAACTGACCCCTGGGAGTCCCTTCTTGTCCCCTCCTAAAGAGCTCTTGGCATTATCTGTACTAAAACAGCTGTAAAAAAAGCTGATTGGCATTATCTGTACTAAAAGTCTGTTTTTTTACGGCTACCACTAAATCTGGACACAACATCTTCCCAAGACACAATAGGCTCAGGTCCTTTATCTTTTCTGCATATATTGCATTTTCCAGTGCTTCATGCCTGTTATGACTGACCTCATGTGAATTATAGCATTAGACACTGAAGAGTGATAGAGAGGAGACAGTAGATAAGGTGCTGCTGGAGGGGCTTAGAAACTCTTCTAAAAGGAGAGAGAAAATAAACCTTTGTGAAATATATTTATGCACATGGAAACACTAAATAAATACACAGCTAACTTCGGCTGTACAAATAATGTTGAAGAAATATTAGAAATGACTGTGCCACAGGTTGGTTGGTTATTGTGAGAAGACAAATAATGAGCTGTTTGGAAGCAAGAAGGACCCAGCCTAGTAAGGAAAAGCTCAGAAATAAAAACCACACATCTATGGTAAATTTATAACCAAAGAGCCAAGAACGTACAGTGGCAAAAGGACAGTCTCTTGAGCAAATGGTGTTGGGAAAACTAGACAGCCACATGCAAAAGAGCAAAACTGGGCAATAAGCTCCTTTGACATAAGTCTTGGCCATGATTTTTTTAAATCTACCATCAAAAGCAGCAAAAGCAAAAATAAACAAGTGGGACTACATCAGCCTAAAAAGCTTCTGTATAGCAAACCATCAACAAAATGAAAAGCCAACCTTCTGAATAGGAAAAAATAATTGCAATTCATATAGCTGATAAGGGGTTAAAATCCAAAATATATAATATAACGAATTCATACAACTCAGTAGCAAAAACACACACAAGAAAACACCAAATATCCAAAATATATAACAAATTCATACAACTCAGTAGCAAAACACCAAATTGATTAAACAATGGGCAGAAGATCTAAATAGTCATTTTTCCCAAGAAGACATACAAATGACTAAAAGGTACATGAAAAGATGTTCCATATCACTAATCATCAGGGAAATACAATCAAAAGCACAATGAAATATTGCCTTACAACTGTTAGAATGGTCATTATAAAAAAATTTTTAAAAAGTGTTGGTGAGGATGTGGAAAAAAGGGAAGTCTTATGTACTGTTGGTAGGAATTAAATTGGCACAGCTACTATGGAAAACAGTGTGGAGTTTCTTCAAAAATGAAAAATAGGACTACCATGTAATCCAGCAATTCCACTTCTAGGTATTTATCTGAAGAAAATGAAAAGATAGCTGCACCCTCATGTTTATTGCAGCATTATGTGAAATAGCCAGTTACGGAAACAACTAGAAAATATGATATACACACACATGCACGCATACATACATACATACATACATACACACACAATGGGATATTATTCAACCACAGAAAAAGAATGAAATTTTCCATTTGCAACACCACGGATGGACCTTAAGGAAGTTACGCTAAGTGAAATAAGTCAGACAGAGAATGGCAAATACCTTGTAATCTCACTTATCTTGGAATCTAAAAACAAAACAAAAAAAGGAACCAAACTCACCGATATAGAGAACAGATTGGTGGTTGCCAGATGTGTGTGTGTGTGTGTGTGTGTTGTGGGGATGGGTAAAGGGAGTCAAAAGGTATAAACTTCCAATGATAAAATAAGCCGTGGAGGTCATGTACAGCATGGTGACTGTAGTTAGTAACACTGCATCTCATGCATGATGGATGTTAAGAAGACTTACTGTGGTGATTATTTCACAATATATACAACTGTTAAATCATTATGTTATACACCTGTAACTAATACAGGGTGGGGCAAAATAGGGTTATAGTTGTGACTATACAAAAGACAGAGTTCATTCTTGTATTATTATTAATCATTGTATTATTTTCCATACAAACAACAGTAAACCTACTTTTGTCCCACCCTATATAACATAATGGCTTATGTCAATTATACCTTAATAAAATTTTTTAAAACAACTGGATGTTGTCTTTATTGCTTATCAAATATGTTCATTGACATATCCACCAGCAGTTAGCACAACATCTGGCTCATTTTGGGGACTTGATAAGGGTTTGTGGACTGGATAACTGACTGGCTATGGTACTCTAGTAAGGGAATATCAGTATGATTTCATTTGTAAATTAATAATAATGGTTATATCCCTTATGCTCTCAGTCATAGAATTTTTGGGTTTTAGAGCAGAATAACTTTAAGTAACAAAACACTATAGGTAATGCTACCCTGCATTTGTTCCTGCTACAGTTCATTCTAGTTGCCTTCCTTCTTCTAACTCTAGCTGACCTCTGTTTGCAAAAAGCAACAGAAGAGGCAAAGCTAATTTTGAAATGATTTTCTAGCCTATTCACTTGGTTCACTGTCTTCATTTATCAGCTCTGCTGCCACCTTGCTTTCATTTTACCTTATTTAAGGTATTTCATCAATGGCAATCACTTTTGGGAGAATGATTATGCCTCCCATGCAACCATGCTCAAACATCCTCTGTCCCTGTATCAGATCATCATACATTACTATTCTTGTAATCCCACTGAAAGACTGTGTTTCCTTTTCTGCATGTACATTTGGGTCTCCAGTTTTCTCGCAAATATTTAAGTGTGTGTGTGTGTGTGTGTGTGTACTTACAGCAAACTGACTTTAGTTAATAATACTGCATATATATGTGTGTGTGTGTATACATACACATATACATATACATACACACACACAGTAGTCCCCCCTTAACTGTAAGGGATATGTTCCAGCACCTCCAAAGGGATGCCTGAAACCACAGATAGTACTGAACCAAACATACTATGTTTTTTCCTATGCACACATACCTATGAAAAAGTTTAACGTATAAATTAGGCATAGTAAGGGATTAACAACAATAGCCAATAATAAAATAGAACAAGTACAATACTAAAAGAAGGGTTACTTGAACACAAGCACTGAGATACCACCAGTTAATCTGAAAACCAAGATAGCTACTGAGTGAAGGATGGTTGGCACATACAGCATGGATATGCTGGGCAAAGGGATGACTTCTATCCCAGGTGGGATGGAGCAGGACAGCACGAGATTTCATCATGCTACTTAGATTGGTGTGCAATTTAAAACTTATGAATTATTCCTGGAATGTTCCATTTAATATTTTTGAACGGCAAGTAACTGAAACTATAGAAGTGAAACCACAGATAAAGGGGGACTACTGTATTTTTAAAAAATCTTTAAATGCAATGTTGTATTCAGGATTGGCTCCTTGAGCAGACAAAGGGCATTAGTGATACAATTGGTGAAATCTGAATGAAGTCTATAATATACATAATAGCTCATTTTTTAGTTTTGATCAATGTACCATGGTTGTATAAAATATTAATATTAGGGGAAGCTGGGTAAAGGGAGAAGGAATGATTTAATCTCTAGGATTTGTCAAGTAATGCATACTTAATTGAAAGACTGAATAATGAATTTCCTAGTAAGCCGGATGGATATTAGATCAGTGGTTGTAAACTCTGGCTGCACTAATTATCAGGAGAGTTTTTGTTTAACACTGATTTCTGGGTGCTACCCATGCTCATGCCCTGTTATTTTCTAAAAGCTCCCCAAGTAATTCTAATAGACAGCCAGGGTTGGGATCAACCATGTCAGACCATTCCAGAAATAAATACCCCACACATTACTCTCTTTCAATAATCACACTGTATTGTAATTACCAGTTTATGTACCGGTAGTTCCTTCATTTGACTTTATGCTTCTTGAACTCAGATACTAGCATTGTCTGATTCATAATTGTCTTCCTAGTGCCTCGCACATAGTGGACAGTCATAAATGTTTATTTAACAAATTGATAGTTTCTTTCATTTAGACACAAGAAAATTGCATAGTACCATACAAGACAAAGAGAGAATGCTAGAACCACGAGTTTGGGGGTGTGTGTGTGTGTGTGTGTGTGTAGTATTGTTTTCTAACCATTTACAGTTTGGTACCTGTCTCCTTATCCATAATCTATTGTTTGTTGTTTAAGTTCACTCATTGTCACTTACACAGATGCTATGAATTGACAGCAGCAAAAGTTACTGGGCTTTGTCAGGGAGTCCCAATTTGAATTATTTTGTTCCATTATTCCCATTTGTACCTTGGTTCTAAAACTTATCATCACTATACATGTAAGAGGATAGCTCATTGGTGTGACATTGAGCACTACTGTCCCTGCTTATAAAACCCATAGGAGCCTCCGGACAAAGACACATAGATTGCCATCCCAGTGATTTTTCTCAACTGCAAAATCTATTAAATTAGGCATAGGTTAATGGAGCTGGAAAGATATTTAGAGAATGGAATTCAATCACCTTCATTCAACAGTGAAGAAGCTGGAGTAGGTTTTGTGACTTGCTAGAGATGGCACAGCTTGTTAGGGACACAGCTGGTACAAGAAACCTGGTGCTCTGACCCTCGGGCCTGGACCCCTCCATGGTACTGACAGCACCTTGGATTCCACTAGAAATCAAAGATCAGACTTTTACTTCCATCTTGCTCTCTGTGTTGGGAAGAAAAATATCTGAAAAAAAAGGCCTTATTACAGATTTCTCATAGAGTATAAGGAGGAGTTCATGTGGAAAGGGGAGAAGACAGATTAAAGGGATCTTGAATGAGATTTTGAAACTTACCAGGAAAAAATGTGTTTCTGTCCTTGTTTTCAGAATTTTCCCCAGAGAATACCTCCTTCAACAGATCCACCTGTATTCCCTCGCCGATCTGCAGCAGGTAAGTACTCAGAGGGACCATTTCATTCCGTTCTTTCCCTGGGGAAGTGTCTTTGTTGATTATGGTCTTGGCACTGAATTTGGCCATGCTAAGGTAGTTTTCTTTCAAGCCCTAATAATTGATTAATTTATCTTCAGAATGGAAAACATGAACTTAGTATAAGAAGATATTCCAGGACAATAACAAATGTTGGCAAGGACATAGAGAAATTGGAGCTCTCGCCCATTGCTGGTGGGAATGTAAAGTGGTACAGCCATTGTGGAAAACACTCTGGAGGTCCCTCGAAGAATTAAACAGTTACCATATGACCCAGCAATTCTACTCCTAGATATACCAACAAAATTGAAAACATATGTCCCCTGTAGCACTTAATAAATGCATATTCATAAGCGCCAAAGAATGGAAACAACCCAAATATTCATCAACTGATGAAAAGGTAAACAAAATGTTGTATATCCATACAATGATTATTTGGCCATAGAAAGGAAGTACAGTGCTGATATGTGGTACAACATGAACGCACCTAGAAAGCATCATGCTGAGAGAAACCAGACAGAAAAGAATATGTTTTATGATTTATTTAAATGAGGTGTCCAAAACAGGCAAGTCCATGGAGATAGAAAGTAGATGAGTGGTTACCAGGGCCCGGGGAGGATCGCAGAATGAGGGGCGACTGCTAATGGTCCGGGGTTTCCTTTGGGGCTGATGAGAACGTTCTGGAATTAGAGTGGTGATGGTTGAACAACGGTGCGAGCACGCTAAAGAACACTGAATTGTGTACTTTAAAAGGGTGTGTCTTATGGCATGTGAATTATATCTCAGTAAAAAAAATTGTACGAGGAAAAAAGGTATAAAAGCAGTGACTATAGTAAACTCTTTGTGCTCAAGCCACACAGTTGGATGACTTTAAATTTTAGTAAAACGTAACAAAGCAGGCAAGAGTCAAAAGCATCTTTTTATGCTTTTTTTAGTGTACGTTCTTTTAATGATTGACAGGTTAGCAGCCAGGAAGAAAACTGACATTTGTCCATTCAGCCCCAAGTTTTGAATATGTTAAGCTTTGGTTAATCATTTAAATCAGCCACTCCCTCCCTAAGAAGACACTAAATGAAGGCATATCTGTTGATTCTTTCAAGAGTTAATTTTAAAAAAAATTGCAACAACTTTCAGAACATCTCCAACTACTGTTACTCTGTTCTGTTGTTTTCCTCTCTGGTTGTTTTCCCCAGAAGAAATGAGGTCAACTAGAAAGCTGTACAGATCCTTCAATCATTTTAAGACTTTTTAAAAATTAAATCTTAAAAGTAGTTTAAACTTAAGACTTTTGTGGTCTCTCTGTCCCCTAGAAAAAGGAAATTTATTTTGAATGGTCGAAATAGCTTTAGAGCATTTAGTTGGAGAAGTCTGAGAGAATACTAGAGTTTTAATCCCCCTTGTGCATTGATTTCAAACCTGCTTGTGCATATCAGCCCCCTCCACTCTTTCAGCCCTGCCGGCCCATCACCACGGATCCAGTTGCAGTGATGTGCTGGCTGGGATGGGAAGGGATCTATGTTTAATCACGATTGCCCGGTGGTGTTCAAGGGGAAGCAGTGATGAAAATACCCATTACGCATTTATCTATTTTCTAGAGCACTACCTGGTCATAGTATCTGAGCACCAGACTATCACCTGAGAAGTATGTTGACAATATATTCTTGTGAAGGTGGTTGAAAATAGAATGGGTGGGCTCAAAAGTGAGTCGTCTTTGAGGAAGCCTTTGAAAAATGAGTTTTGATACCAGATTAAGAGGAAGACTCAGAGTAATTCCATATTCATTTTAGAGTGTCCAAGTAGTATCCATTTGACATAATAAAACCTGCTTTTTAAAGCTTTCCTATACCCTGCTGGTTTTTTTCCTTTTTCTTTTCTTTTTCCATGTAATAATCAAACCATACGTGCCAGGCGGCTTACTTCAATCTTGGTGGGCCAGACCATTAGCCCCCGGAGCCCCATAAGCAGCTTAATCAGTTTTCAGCCTCAGTAGTAAAGTGATAGAGGCAAAGCAGCCCATCAGACTCCCTGTGGGCGGGGCTGCTAGAGCTCCCCGCATCCATTTACTCCAACCCGGTTCTTTGTGCCTGGCTTTAAAACCTCCAAACTTATCATATTTAGAAGAGGTTTAATTCAATTACTTTTCCTGCCTGGGGTGGGTTAAATTGGATTTAGCTTTTGATCTGTCTACATCTCAGCTATCAGTACCGAAGGGCACCTCCGCCCCATCTAACCTTGGCTTCTGAGTACATTTCAGGCATGTTTTCTGGATCTGCACTATTCTTGCAAGTAAATAGGTAAAGGAAGGGAACACATGGAGGGGGAAAAAACCACTGCTTTGTGACAGAGCATGTCAGTGGTAGCAGGTGACCCAATTTAACTGGCCCACTTGCCAGCCCCGTACTGCCCTGTGCCATCCTGGCCTCCGTCTGGCTGCTTTGTCACCTGTTTCATGTCAGCTTCAGGAGTTTTAGAGTAAGTTATTTCTCCCCCTTCTATTTCCCTCCTCACTCCTAAAATGAAGTTCTCTATAAAAGCAGGTCTTTCTCTTTCTATATAAAAAAGCTATAGAAACATGCATTTTTATAAATTTTTCAGGGGAGGGGAAGGCAAACTAAAGCAAGTAACTGAAGAGTTATAGAGCTTAGTAATAGTATAAATATCCTTCCTAAAGGCAGATTCCATTCTACAAATTTCCCTCAAGTGAATTTGATTTTTCTTACTAGTTTTTATTTAAAAAACAAAACATAGACATCTTCCTTTCCAAGAAGAAAGAAAGGTAAGAATTTAATAAACATTGTAAAGGGGTATTTGTAATTTAAGTATATACAATCTTAAAATAATACAGAACACAAAACACTAATAATACCTTAAATAATGATGCTGAAAATACAAAAATATTTACAATCTTCTTATCTCTCTGTCTCTCTGTATAAGTCACAATCCCTAAAGTTTTAGCCAATAGACGTAGTTAAACAATTTGTCTAAAGATTGCAAGGTACCTTAATGCTTCTGATGTCACATTCAAGACAGTTTTTTCCCCCTTCTCATTATTTGAATTTACCGGCCCCTTGGTATGCATTTTCCCTTACGATCCTACACTTGGATGCCAGTCAATAAACACCACAGCCTGACACCGCTTAACAGAGGGAACCCCCTTGTTCTGGGAGTTGTAGTCACCTGCCCACTGGCCAATGAGTGCCCATTATTAGCAAAATTTGTAGCTTATGCTCGTAGTGAGTCCCTCTGTCTATTTATTTCACCAGTGATTGAGTTGTTCACTGGATTTTACTAGCACACTGTGTAAGCAACACAAATCATGTCCTGACTCATCAGTGGTGGCACAGGGACATGTAACACATAAGATAAGAGCAAAACGCCCCTCCTGGCCCAGTAGGGCCGAGGACGGGAGCAGAAGGTGGCAGCAAGGGCTTTCCAAATCCCAGGAGCTCGGGGGTCCATCGGCTTGCCTTATTCATTTCTTCAGCTTGGAATTGCAGGTGAATTTCTGTTCAGCAAAGTAAAAACTGCCAGAATACAAAATCCTATTATATCTGCACTCTTTGAATGTAAATTGACAGAAAATGAAATCTTATAAACAGAAACTTTCTTTGAGGAGGTAAGAATGCGTAGTGGCTTTTTGGAACTGACAGGTGGTTCCTGATAAAGGATTTGGCGGGCAGTGACTAAGCATATGTGAACAAATGGACCAGTATTGGTGCATGTTTTTTAAAATCTATAAATCTCAACATTTATTTTCTTTTAAAATTTTAATTTGTATTTTTTAATTACATTCTACTTTCAATATTATTTTGTATTGGTTTCAGGTATACAGCACAGTGGTTACTTTACAATGTGTTCCCCCCGATATCTTCAGGACTATTGGTGCATGTTTTGAATGGGGAAACTGAGGTACTGCTTTTTAAGAGCTTTCTACTGGTTTGATACTTTGAGAAGGGGAAGCAGAATAGGATTTGTGTTTTGTTATTTTCAGTCTATCCATCATTATCACAATCCATGGACAAGCTTTAAGACGGGAATACAGAATACAATAAAAAGAGACGCTCCTATGAGCCAGCAGGAAGAACGCCATAGCTCTCCATGCAGAGCCCTTCCCCTGTGAACCTGGGGTGGGGGGGTGTACACCCGGCTCCTTACTCACAGCGCCGGAGCTATTTTAACACTGATAAGAAAGTTCCACATTTTACCAGTAGAATACATTAGTATATGTAAGTTAATGTTCAAGAGATTGTAGTTGCTCGTAAGGAGCAAATCAGAACCCTGGTTTAATATGTCATTCCTCATTCTTTGTAAGTGATAGGAGAATTCTTCTAAAGTTCCTGCCACTTGCTGAAAGGAAAGGTCAGATTTAACTTCTAAATTTTGGCTACCCATGCTCTTGTGACAAAAACCTAAAATGTATATTAATGACTAACGCTTCTGGTGTTACTCACCTTTGGGGCATATGTAAGTTAAGCACTGAATGATTCTGTTTGTACGTGATTCATGAGAAAGGATACTGGATGATCCCATGGGTGAGGCAGCCAGTTAGAGTAGCCCCTCCCCCTCATTCCCTCCACTGGCCACCACTTCACCTCCCAACACACACGCTCCTCTTGTGGGACAGTCTGAAGAACTGGCCTCCCCATTGTTCACCTTCCCTAAATTCTCAAACTAGACTGTACCTGCAGGTTAAGGCAATGTAGATTCTCATTAATATGAAATATATTACCTGAGAAAAATAAATCATTATTTTGGCACAAATTCATCTGTCTTAGTAATAAATTGAAAACATAGCATGACATTTGAGGTGAGAGAGATCTCAGCAGATAAGATTTAATGATGAAAAAAAGATGGAAAAGTCTGGAGTTTGGAGAACTTGCTAACGAGATGTGAAGTGGGAAGGGTGCCAGAAAGGGGGACCCATAGCACTCGGGAGCCATGAAAAGAGAGAGGAGTAAATCAAA